GATAGATAGATAGATAGATAGATAGATAGATAGATAGATAGATAGATAGATAGATAGATGGATGGATGGATGGATGGATGGATGGATGGATGGATGGATGGATGGATAGGTAGGTAGGTAGGTAGATAGATAGATAGATAGATAGATAGATAGAGAGAGAGAGAGAGAGAGAGAGAGAGAGAGATAGATAGATAGATAGATAGAGAGATAGAGAGATAGAGAGATGGATAGAGAGATAGAGAGATGGATAGAGAGATAGATAGAATTTTTTCTCTTGACAGGCACAACACTGGGTTTATGTTTGCAGATGATGATCTAACGTTAAATACAGATGTGAAATAAACGTATCAATAGAAATTGGCCCTTACCTTGCACGATCCACCACTGGACATGGTGCTGGCTGGTCACTTCATGGATCAGCAGTAAACCAATGGCTGGAAAATGTTTTCATTTGTTGCAACTACAACCTCTACACACTAGATGTCGCTATGGAGTCCACGTTCCATATTCTTCCTTTAATTTGCCTCCTTTGGGGTTTATTTTGACCTTCAGTCTAATAAGTCGTTACTCAGCATTATGTTTTTTTAGTACTAATCAGGGATTTTGCCATTTCCAGGGTCAAGAAGTCCACTTACCTGCGTCTCCAGCTTCTTGCCAAAGAGGAGTACCAGCTGAGCTTTCTGATGGAGGAGTCTCTGCTGCGGGACCGCCTGACCCCTGTCCTCATCCAGCCTCACCTCCAGGCCATGGACCGCCGGCTGCGGTTCGTTCTGCAGGTCATAGCAGGCTGCATAGAGAAGGAGGGCTACGTTAATGTCGTGGAGGAGGACCTGGTGGGGGACACGGCCACTCACAGGGGCCCGGCCCAGAGGTAGTGAGGGCCACGCTTCAGGGAGACAACACTGAAGCAGGGACCACGTCTGTGGCTGTTTGACCTTTGGGATTCAACCAAAAATATTCGATATGAAGCTGAATTCAGTGAATTCCGAGACTGCCATCTTTGCCTCTTAAGGAACTGCTTTAAGTTGTTTATATGGAAACAAGCATCTACAGACTGTGTTTACACAGAGGCTTTATATTTGTCAGACACAGCCATATTTTTGTTTTATTATCTGTATGATGGAACATAAGGGAACTGTGTTGTGAACATAGATGGGTTTGTTGGACACATTACCAAATGCAACACTGATCGGGCAGAAGAACCGTCAGACAATAAGCTTTATCAGTTATGTCAGTGCATCAACTTTGTGCCGAATTTATCGTTTAACATCTGATGACCAGGAGAAAGCCTTGCAAGTATCTTTTTTAAATTTTCTTGGCCCAGACTCTCTGTAGATCAAACCAGATTATCACGTTCACAATTTAGTAAACATATTTCACTTTACTTAAATGCAGTTATTGTTCATTTCCAATTTCTCCTGGATGTTTATCACAAAAACAACATTTTCAAAACAACATTTCAGGATTTTAAACCAGATTTGTCAACTGAGCTGATTTATTTAAACATGCTTTGGTGATCTGGTGAATGAATCTCTGTGTTAAAGCAAACTTGAAGCATCTAGTTGGTTGCGTAGGTTTAAAGTTTATGCAATGCAAACATTTTCAGATTTTTTTATTTATTTGTGAACCAAAAGAATTCCACAATATGTCTAACTTTCAGGTTCTTAAACATGTTTTCCACACAATCAAGCACAGTATTCATGATCATATTTCAGAAACTGACATTCCTGAGAATGTTATTTATTTGTTTAGATGATAAAAACCTTTAGTGCTGTTTGATTTGGAAGAACTGACAAAGAGGTGCCCGTGCAATTTCCTTTTTCTCCTCCAAAGAGTCCTGTGTATGTGCTAATCCTGTATCTGTGCAATGCCAGAAAAATCAGTACTTGAATGTGTGGGTTGGCAGTATTAACAGGATTCACAGAGCAGTGTAGAGTTGGGTTTGTGCGATCAATGCCTCGTCCAGACACAGGGACAACCATGGTTTTTAATACGTTCAGTGTAAATACTTATAAATATTTTCAGGATCAAATAAGCTGCACTGCAGAGTAATTTGCTTCTGTTCTCTGCTCCTGCATTGTTACTGTGAAGATCTGTTTACTAAATGATTAAAGTGTGCAATAAAAACAAAGGTGAGGACAGTTTTCTTTCATATTAGTACAGTTATGGTCAGAAGTTTACATACACTTGTAAAAAATATAATATAATGGCTCTACTGAGTGTCCCGTTATTTCTAAAACTCTGATTTTTCTCTGATAGAGTGATTGGAACAGATACTTCTTTGTCACAAAAAACATTCATGAAGTTTGGTTCTTTAATGTCTTTATTATGGGTTAACAGAGAAAAGTGATCACATTTGCTGGGTCACAAATATACATACAGCAACATGATCTAGCAATTTTGGTGACTTAGAAACGTGTCAGTGAACTGAGCTTCATAGCATGGCCTCTTAACTTCTTGTGAGTGATTATGAGTGACTACAGCTGGTGACTTCTCTTAGGCCAGGTAAATAGGGCTCATTGGATACAAACGCCCACAAACGCTACAATGGGAAAGTCAAAGGCGCTCAGCATGGATCTGAAAAAGCGAATTATTGACTTGAACAAGTCAGGAAAGTCACTTGGGGCCATTTCAAAGCAGCTGCAGGTCCCAAGAGCAACAGTGCAAACAATTGTTTGTAAGTATAAGGTGCATGGCACTGTTTCATCACTGCACTGTTTCAGGAAGAAAATGCAAGCTATCACCTGCTGCTGAGAGAAAATTGGTCAGGAGGGTAAAGAGTGAACCAAAAATCACCAAAAAGCAGATCTGCCAAGAATTAGAAGCTGCTGGAACACAGGTGTCATTGTCCACAGTCAAACGTGTTTTGCATCTCCATGGACTGAGAGGCTGCCGTGCAAGAAGGAAGCCCTTGCTCCAAAAGCGGCACCTTAAGGCTCGACTGAAGTTTGCTGCTGATCAAATGGACAAAGATAAGACCTTCTGGAGGAAAGTTCTGTGGTCAGACGAAACAAAAATCGAGCTTTTTGGCCACAATGCCCAGCAATATGTTTGGAGGAGAAAAGGTGAGGCCTTTAACCCCAAAAACACCATGCCTACAGTCAAGCATGGTGGTGGGAATATTATGCTGTGGGGCTGTTTTGCTGCCAATGGAACTGGTGCTTTACAGAGAGTAAATGGGATAATGAAGAAGGAGGATTACCTTCACATTCTTCAACATAACCTAAAATCATCAGCACGAAGGTTGGGTCTTGGGCACAGTTGGGTGTTCCAACAGGACAATGACCCCAAACACACATCAAAAGTGGTAAAGGAATGGCTAAATCAGGCTAGAATAAGGGTTTTAGAATGGCCTTCCCAAAGTCCTGACTTAAACCCCATTGAAAACATGTGGACAGTGCTGAAGAAACAAGTCCATGTCAGAAAGCCATCAAATTTAACTGAACTTCACCAATTCTGTCAAGAGGAGTGGTCAAAGATTCAACCAGAAGCTTGCCAGAAGCTTGTGGATGGCTACCAAAAGCGCCTAATTGAAGTGAAAATGGCTAAGGGACATGTAACCAAATATTAGCTCTGCTGTATGTATATTTGTGACCCAGCAAATGTGATCACTTTTCTCTGTTAACCCATAATAAAGACATTAAAGAACCAAACTTCATGAATGTTTTTTGTGACAAAGAAGTATCTGTTCCAATCACTCTATCAGAGAAAAATCAGAGTTTTAGAAATAACGGGACACTCAGTAGAGCCATTATATTATATTTTTTACAAGTGTATGTAAACTTCTGACCACAACTGTATATGGCTGCAGGAAGATGAGGTTGTTTTAGTACATGAGTGAAGGTTGATGTGTTGGATTTGGTTGATGTGGACAGCTGATGAAGCAGGCAGGATTAAAACCAGCACAAATTACCTGTTGCTGTATGTGGTGCTGAAGCACCACTCAGGAGCTGTCTGTGGTGCTGAAGCACCATTCAAAAGCTGTTTGTGGTGCTGAAGCAATACTAAGGAGCTGTCTATGGTGCTGAAGAACCACTCAAAAGCTGTCTGTGGTGCTGAAGCAACATTTAGGAGCCTTCGGTGGTTCTAGAGAAGCCTGGATGGTGTCCTGATGCTGGAACCAATCTCCTTCAGAGGGTAAAAAACCTTTCCAGGACTTTTTATGCTGTTGTTTCTCATTGACTTGAACTGGTTAATTTGCTACAGCCATTTTGAAAATAATAGTAGCCCCACATATGCTACAGGGAGAACACTAACAAAATCCTCCATGCAAAGATTATACAGACAATTCAGCAACTTTGACATCAGTCCTTTACAGAGCACAACTCAACAGGTCAATGGTCCAATATGAACCTTTGCCAAGTAATTAATCCTTTACAGCCCATGTGTCAAACACAAGTCGGCCCGTGGAGCATTTTTATGTGGCCCGCGAGATAAATATAAAAAATATAATAAAACTGACTCGCTGGGCGATTTTACTGCAAAGACTACAACTCCAATGATGCTTTGCGGTGTTAGCGCTGAGCCAAAGTGGCCCCTCCTTTGTGTTTTTTCCAGCGTCTGCTGCCGGTGTCTGCAGCTCCGCTGTCTTGGACAAACTAAACACTCCTCTCACTCAGCACCGAGTTTTCTCAGCTATTTGCCGACGTTGAAGCCCAGAAACGGAGATTTTAACTGCTTAGTAATGTGTTCACGACTGAAAGAGAAAGTTTTCCAACTGACTTCCAGACAGAACTGATAAATGTCCAGCGAGCAGCGACATGCTCAAACCAGCATGACTCTGTGGTTGCTGTCGTTTTTATTTTTCCTCCCCGACACAACGACGTGGTCAAGCTGCTCAGACGCTCTCCATGTTCAGCAACACAAACCTATGTGAGCACTTGTTGTCATCTAATGTTGTCATTATTATGATGAAGATGAACAAAACAACAGGAGTCTCCTCCTCAGCTCAGGCTGGTATGAGGCTGGAACAGGTGAGCATCACAGTAAATTAGTGGAGCAAACAGAGCTTTAAATATTTTGGTTTTATGCTCTTTTTCTGCTCCAAAACATGAAAGTTAACAGGTGAGATATTGCGTTTTCATTTAAGATAAAAAAATATATTTTTCTTTTGTTGTTGGCCCGTGAGAAAAGATTTAACCTACAGTAAAACAGGAACTGGAAAGGCTGCAGATAGATGGATAGAATAGAAAATCCCTTTATTGTTCCTCAGTGGGGAAAGCTAGATGTCACAGCAGTGATGACACTTATTACAGGAGAAAAAAGGAGAATAAAAAATAAGAAAAATGAATAAACACCAAGAAAACATAAATCCTGAATAGATTTTAAAAATGATAATTATACCACAAGTAATGAATACCACTGATGCCTTTTATTTAAAATTGACTTGCTCGTGTGTATTTTGGTTATTCCACATTCAGTATTAATGCTAAATAAGTTTGTTTCCAAATTAAAAGGTTCAAAATTGCATATATGTTGATAAAGAAAATGTGCAAATTTGCCGTCACTTTTTCTAAAAATATTAAGTTTGGCCCGCGACCTCGTCCCAGATTTTCCTTTTGGCCCATGTGAATTTGAGTTTGACACCCCTGCTTTAAAGCCTCAAACGTGAAACAAATATTCAAAAGCATGTTTTAATAGCTAATCTAATGTAAATATAGCAATAATATAATTATCTACCATGGTTTAATTAGTACAATGCTGTCATAATTAGATGGAATCAAAATAGGACCTGCAGTACTCAGATATCCTCACAAAGATGAGAAAACAAAACATTGTACAGATAAGATCAAATGAAATGAGCACAATATGGCACAGTTTGCTCAAGCATGCTTTTTAAATTAAGTGCTGTAAAAAAAATCTACTTTTTAACTGGAAATTAGTTTAATGCTTTAGTAAAAATTTTAGTAGAAAATGTTTGAAAAAAGAAAACAACAGTAAACAAAAATGTCTCAGCCCATAGGGGAGAAACAGCCCAGGCCTTAAAGCCGAGATCTGCACATGACCCTTCAGGTCTTCTAAAGGGCATCCTTGCACCTTTGGCAAGGATTGATCTGAACTGGAGTTTTCCTCTTAAAATGTTTGCCATAGTTCTGAAATGTCCACACTTTCTTCTGATTTTGACAGAAAGTGATATAGCCAACCATTATAGTACCTGCACATGCTTTAACGTCCTAATTCTTCACTAAAGTGTGTTTAAGATGCAACAGCATTAGTTTAAATTGTTCAGCTCAGTTTTAGCTTGTAAATCCTACTTTGGACTTTGTTGTTGCTAAACATTTAAAAAATGGTAAACACAGAAGACTTCTGATTGAAACCAGCTGTGTTGTAGCACATAAAACTCTAAAATATTAATGATGGAAGCCCTCGAGGACCAGAAATGGAGATAACTGCTTTAAAGAAAATTCAAAGTTCACATAATTGGTGAAGAATGTGACTGCACCTCATCCTGAGAAGAACCAATATGTTGAGATCTAAGAAATGTTTCAATTGCCTTGCAGTACCAGTGGCAGGGAGAATGCAGGCTTAGTTTTTAAATATTAGCATTTTATTTTGTTGCTGCATCTTGATAAGGCAGCATTTGCTCTCAGTCTTACAGAAACCCTCATGAAAATCTGTTTTACTTGGTGTCACGTACTTCTGCTGTGCTCTACAGTTATTAGTGTGCTCATCATCTTTTGTATAATAACACCTGCCTCTTCAGAACAACAGAAATAAACCCAAACAGCTATCTAGTTAATACCGTTTTCCACCAGCAGAGGGAGCGAGTGGTTCACTTTCATCCTTAATTCAGGCTGCGGCCGGTAGGTGGCGGTAGAGCAGCGTGTAGGTTAAATAAGTTGTTTACAACTGCGTCACAAAAGGTGTTTTTCTGAGTTGACTTCATACACATTGAATTAAAGCCTCAGTGTGAGGATTCTGTGGTTAATATTCTTGATATTTTGTTTTTGTGACTTTTGAATTAGCTACTTAAAATAAGCAATTAGGAACAAAGTTACCTTGTTGCTTCAGCTAACCAGCATGATGTCCCTTATAAATGCACCGATGATGCAGTTATGACCTGAATTAGAGAAATATTTTTAAACTGTCCAGGATGTTGTTGCACTTCAAAACTTTTACACGAGGCTATGCACTGGGTCCGTTTAAAAAGTTTCCTTGATTTAGTTTGGAAAAGTTTGATTATCTTTCCCTTTTTATTACTCGGATGTTTAATGTTGTCATGATTATGCGGAATCTGGGAAGTTCTGTGAAAATATAAAATGATCCTCCTATAATCGTGCTGATGTTTACCCGCCACATCAGATCTCCTCATTGAGAAGCAGCCTCTCCTCCCTAGCAACTGTATCCAACACCACTGTCCTCCTGTCTCTATGGCAACAGCAGGGCCACCCCTTCCTGCCCTACTCCCAGTTGATCCTTTCAAGGTGGTCGAATTCTCAGTTCTCGGTGACCCTGACCCTTTCACCTCTCCTGCTTAAAAACCTGCAGCAAGCTGGATTTAAACGTGACAGTTATAGACTTCAAGAAGTTGTAAACACACATAAACAGATGTGCGTGTGTGTGCGTGCGTGCGTGCGTGCGTGCGCGCGCGCGCGCGTGGGCGTGCGTGTGTGTGTGTGTGTCTGTGGGTGTGTAGGTGGATGGATGTGGGGTGGAGGGGGTTAAGGCAGACTGATGTGATTTGATGCTTTAAGGTCGGCTCAGCTGCAAGGTGAGGGCCGATATCACTCACTCTACGAGTCAGTCAGACGGATGCGTCAGCGTATAAGACGCTTGAATCTGGTGATTTTATGAGAGTAAATGGCTGGTTTTATGGTAATAAACATTCCAGAAAGAAACAGGCTACGCCTCAACTTGTGAATTATTGAAAGGCGAGAGCAGCTAAAATAAGGAATATCCTTACGTTGGCCAAAATTAGTAGGCAGATGGATGGCGTTCATTTGTAACTGTCTATAGGGCTGTGACATTTTCAGGTGGTGATTTAGTGTGTGTGTGTGTGTGTGTGTGTGTGTGTGTGTGTGTGTGTGTGTGTGTGTGTGTGTGTGTGTGTGTGTGTGTGTGTGTGTGTGTGTGTGTGTGTGTGTGTGTGTGTGTGTGTGTGTGTGTGTGTGTGTGTGTGTGTGTGTGTGTGTGTGTGTGGACAAAACTCCTTCAGCCTGTTGTCAAGGTCAGACTGAAGCGCATCCTTTGCGCCAAGCGCACCAGGGGAGAAGTTAAACACCAAATCAATTGCCCTTGAACCGCTGCTCGTGCGTGTGCAAATTGCGCACGAATTTGTTTGAGAGCGTTCGTATGTGTATATACGCGCGCGCTTGTGCGTGTGTGTGTGAGCAGATGCTAAGGTTGTGAGTGCTCTGATCTGCTCTCTCCATCCTGTATGCGCGACTGGGCCGCGCCAGAAGAGATCACTGGCCATTTCCCTGATTGCAGGAGCGCGCCACATACACCGTCTGGGAAGTGGAGGAGACCCCGATGGATCACACACACACACACACACACACACACACACACTCACACACAGGTGACCCTTTTTGGATGATGGCGCAAAACAAAATCAAATGATAAAACGAGAGGAGTGAAGATGAAGCTAATTGTTGACGCGTGCCTGGACAGGCTGCCACTCAGGAGGAAGACGAGAAAGGAGACAGCTGAAGGGGAGAAGACTCTCTCTCTCTCTCTCTCTCTCTCTCTCTCTCTCTCTCTCTCTCTCTCTCTCTCTCCCTCCCTCTCTCTCTCTCTCTCTCTCCACCACACAAACACACACTCCACGCACCTCTACCTCTTCTTCTTTTCATTCAGGGCACAATCATTGGCGCGCGCACACACACACACACACACACACACATCTCCTACATGCAGTGCCTTGCTCAGTCCCTTCTCTATAAAAAGACACAGAGACAGGGACACACACGCTCTCCTCTCATCTTCTGTTATCTAATTTTCCCATAAATGCAGAAACGCACTGCAGCTCCACTCATCTTCTACACACTGGGATTATGTGGTCATCTCTTTTCATAAACAAAGTGTGTGCCTTCCTCTCTCTTGGGCACACACACACACACACACACACACCGATTAATAATAAACAGCAGGCATTTTTTTTCTCTCTCTTTAGGAGACACACACATGTTGTCTTTCCAAGCAAACATGCAGCTTCCCTGCAAAACACACACACACACACACACACACACACACACACACAGCAGAGAAGGAAGAGGAAGAGCGAACCTGAGACGAAGAAGGCTTTGAAGCCACCGCCTCCACGGCTCAAACACTCCTCTCCTCCCTCCCATCAGCAGTCTTTCTCACCCTCAGCTCTCTCTCCATACACATACAAACACACACACACACACACACACACACACACGCACACACACACACACACACACGCAGGGCAATTCCAATCACTCCTCCCATCTGCCATCTCCCACTCCCTCACCCTTGCATGCGGCGGCTGCCGGACAAGCTGCTAGACTCCCCAGTGGAGGCTGCAAGACCTGGCACCCCCAACACCTCCCCTTAACTCCCCTGACCTCTAACCCTCCACCGCCTCCCTCCTTCTTCCCTAGCTAATTCCGTTATACATTCCTGACTGGAAAGGAAGAGGGATTGTCTTCTAATTGCTTTCATATCCCCTTGAGTCTCCCCAAACACACACACACACACACACACACACACTCTCCTCCCTTCAGCCCGCCCCTCACCCTACGTGCACTCAACATGGCAGCAGACAAGCAGAGGAGGGAGGCAAGCTAGAGAGCAGGAGAGATAGAGGGAGGGAGAAGCAGGCTGCTGCTATCAGGGAATATTGGTGCCACTTTCAGCATCGCAAGGTGAAAGGATTGAGCCTTGCTGCTGTACGCACGGCTCGGTTCAGCTCAGCTCAGCTCGCCTCAGCTCAGACCAGCCGAGCAAGCAGGGGACTGGAGGGAGGACGAAAACGCAGGAGAGAAGGGCTGACCTCTAACACAGGTACCACTCTTTCACCTGTCATTTGTTC